CTGACCACTTCTCTGCTTAATGCCTGCCTCTCCATGACTTCCTATTGCTCTTAAGCTAAAATCCTAAATCCTTGCCAGAGCCTGCCTGGGACTTCTGGCCCTCAGCGTCACTTTGTAACCCCCCTCATTCCACTTGAGCTCCACTGTCTTTTTGGCTTTGCAATACAGCAAGCTCCTCTTTGCCTCAGAACCTCACATACTGTTCTCTCTTCCAGAAATGCTCTTCTCTCATCTCTTCTCTGGTCTCGGCTTACGTGGCACTTCCTCTGGGAAGTTCTCCTTGATTTTCTCTTACCCCCTCCCCAGACACCTCCAACCTCCCCTTTGAAGCTCTTATGAGATGAATTACTTATTCGCTTGGTTATCTGTTAAATTCTGTCTCCTGGAACAGACGGTGGGAGAGCTCACTAAGGTCCACTTCTCTTTGCCTTCCAGAGGAACACTGCTTCCCAGCCTCCCTTGCAGTTGGGCAGGACCATGTGACAGTGTTGGCCAATGGATGGAGAGCCTCTAGCCTCTCTTCTCCTGCCATGGTAACTGAGAAAGCCACATGTTCCAGTGGGTACAGCTTCAATATGGTAGGGACTCCTCAGCCTAGGTCTCCAAGTGACTAGAGCAGAGGACCCAGGATGAGCATGTGGCACACGGGAGAAATAAACAACTCGTGTTATGTCACTGAAGTTTTGTGATATGTCACTGGAGTTCTTTGTTACTGCAGCATAGTCTGGTTTATCCTAACTAATGCTCTAACAGAGCAGGGCCTGGGTCTTGTTCACTGCCTCTCCAGAGTCTGGACCCTAGTGGCAACATAGAAGTAGGTGCTTTGTAAATACTTGTTGAATGAGTGAAAAAGTAGAACACGTAAGACATGGTTTCTTCCTCAAAGCATTTACTCTAACCCAAGAGACAGATACTCATATACACAACAGTTAGAATATAATCCGGGGCTAAACTGTAAAAATTAAAGAAGAAGGAGGGCAGTTAACTGCGTTAACAGCAGTTAATGGGCTGGAGTGGTCATGGAGGGCTTCCTGGAGGAGAATAAGGAGGATTTGAAGAACTGGAGAGGGTAAGAGTGGGTTGCTGTTCACCCGATCATTTGTCCATCCATTCAGCAAACATTTATTCTAATGCACCATGATAAGTACTTTGCCAGCAGTGTGGCCAGAGGACTATGGTGCTCTTGGAAACCAGAGGAAAGTGCCTCTCCCCACACAGAGGACCTTGAATAGCCTCACAGAGGAGGTGATGTTTGAGCAGAACTTTGATAAGTAGGTGTTCATTAGAGAGATAAAAGATGGGTGGAAAAGAACTGCGGATCCCAGGCAGAGGGAACAGCATGAGCAGAGGCCTGGAGGCACGAAGGTGCACAGTGTGTTCAGGGAAGGGGCAATGTCCAGCGTGCTTGGATTTGGGGTAGAGGGGTCTGGATGGCAGTGGCAAAGAGATGAGTTCAATTTCTTCACCTCTGGCTTCTTGCATCTCAGCCCACACCAATTCCATTCAGACCATATTAAAAGCCTCTTGGATGCTCCCAAAAGACTTTTTAGAGAACAGCTAAGTTAAGACCTGAAGGATGAGTTAAAAGTGACCAGGAAAGGTGGGATGAAAGGACAAGGAAGGGTATTCCAGGCAGAGGGAACAGCATGTAGTCTTGGAAGGTAAAGAGCCAGGCCTGAGACAGCAGCTCACTTAGTCTGACTGAAGCATACCTTTCCAGGTGGTTAGACAGGTGGCTGGTGAGGCAGGGACAGATCATGTTACCCTCCCCCATAAATCCCTTATAAAGATTCTAGCTGAGCAGCAGTCAAAACCTACAGGATTCTGTCTCCCAACTCCCTCTCCACCCTAAACTCCAGTGCCTTTGCATGTGCTATTCTAAGTACTTAGAATTGCAATGATGATGATAATAATAACATAATAACACTCGTTGGGCCCTTACAATGTGTTAGGTGCTATGTCAAGCACTATTTCATTGAACAACAATGATATCAACAATCACATGGGTTGGTGAATTTTTTAAGTATTTTTTTTTCCTATTAGACTTTATTATTTTCGTTTTCTTTTTTTTTTTGCTGTACGTGGGCCTCTCACCGTTGTGGCCTCTCCCGTTGTGGAGCACAGGCTCTGGACGCGCAGGCTCAGCGGCCATGGCTCACGGGCCTAGCTGCTCTGTGGCATGTGGGATCTTCCCAGACCGGGGTACGAACCCGTGCCCCCTGCATCGGCAGGCAGACTCTCAACCACTGCACCACCAGGGAAGCCCCTAGACTTTATTTTTTATTTATTTTATTAAAAAAAAATTTATCTTTTTAAAAGTATTTATTTATTTATTTATTGGCTGCATCAGGTCTTAGTTGCTGCACAAAGGATCTTTCGTTGCAGCGCGGGCTTCTCTCTAGTTGTGGCACGGGCTTAGTTGCCTCGTGGCCTGTGGGATCTTATTTCCCCAACCAGGGATCGAACTGGCATCCCCTGCAATGCAAGATGGATTCTTAACCACTGGACCACTAGGGAAGTCCCTAGACTTTATTTTTTAGAACAGTTTTAGGTTTATAAAAAAAGTGAGAAGATATTACAGAGTTCCCATATGTTCCCCCACCCTCCCATTCAGTTTTCCCTATTAGTAACATGTTAGTATGTTATATTTTTTTAATTTATTGCTGATGAAATTAATTAATACTGATGAAAACTTTTATTGATTTATTACTGTTAACTAAAGTCTATTGTTTATTAAGATTTCCCTAGTTTTTAGCCTAAAATCTTTTTTCTGTTCCAGGATCCTGTCTAGGATACCACATTACATTTAGCTGTTATGTCTCTTTAGGCTTCTCTGGGCTGTGACAGTTTCTCAGCCTTTCCTGGTTTTTGATGACCGTGACAGTTTTGAGGAGTACTAGTTAGGTATTTTTTTTGGATGCCCTACTGTTCTATTTGGCCTGATGTTTTTCTCATGCCAAGACTGAAATTATAGGTTATTGGGAGGAAGACCAGAGAGGTAAAGTGTCATTTTCATCACATACTGTCAAACGTACATACTGTCAATGTGACTTGTGACTGTTGATGTTCGCGTTGGTCACCCGGCTGAGGTAGCTGGTGTCAGGTTTCTCTGCTGTGACGTTACTCCTCTTTCCCTCCCTTT